TTTAATGGCACTCAGCGGGTGTTGCAGTTGAACAGTCCACAAGTTGTCAAATAAAGCTCGCGCATTCATAATAAAATGTGCCGCAGATGGCTCCGGGGGATGATTAAAGCCCCCCTGTAGCGAATCCATGAGTTTTTGTAAGAAAAATATCCATATTTCAAACGTAATACTTTTCTCTCACTTCCGCTGACTGTCATACACTGAAGCAGTTCCGGCGGATGACGCAAGACGCGCGGCGTTGCGTGATTAGTGACGAATGCGGAGAGTGAAAACAAAACAAAACGCCGGTCACGAATTAGAAGTACAAACCGAAGATTTGCAAAGAAAAATGTCGGAGGATTTTTATATAAACCAAGAGGAGACTGGTTTTCCTTTGCTAAAGTAAGGAAACTTTGCTTCCTTTGCTCTTATTAAACAAACTCGCGAGACTAGCATATCTCAGAGGCGTGCATGCTGTGCAGACATCATACGCCTTCCGCCGGAACGGCTTCCGCGTATGATAGATAACGGAAGTGAGAGAAAAGTGTTTATTACGTTTGAAATATGGATATTTTTCTTACAAAAACTCATGGATTTGCTACAGGGGGCCTTTATTCATCCCCCCCGGAGCCGTCTGCGGCACGTTTTATTATGAATGCGCAAGCTTTATTTGACGACTTGTGGACTGTTCAACTGCAACACCCGCTGAGTGGCATTAAACAGCTTGAAAGATCAAAGACAATTTTTAATATAACTCCGACTGGATTCGTCTCAAAGAAGAAAGTCATATACACCTAGAATGCTTCGAGGGTAAGTAAAACACAAGTTAATTTTCATTTTTGGGTGAACTAACCCTTTAAATATAACAAGTAATTTGAAATAACCCAATAAATTCATTAAATATTTTTTACTGTTTGGGATTTAAGACAAGTCTGGGGCTGTCCTAAATTTAAGAAGTTATTTACGATGAATTTAAGAAGATTCTTTTCAAGAATTTGAATTCTTCTTAAGTTTTTTCTTAAGGATAATCTTAAGAAAAGATTAAGAATATTCTTAAGATAAATTTTTGGGAATACAAAATATTCTTAACTTTTTTCTTAAGTTAAACAATAAGAAGAAAATGGCAGTTAAGAAGAAATTTCTTAAGAATGTTTCATGAATCCGGCCCTTGGTCTATCAGGTGTCAGTCTCTCTGGATCAGGCCTGCAGCGTCTCTAAAACATGCTGCCAGATTAACCCTTTGAGACTTATCTGTCTATCGCATCTCCCTCTGTCAAACCCTGCCTCCCTCATCAATACCTAAGGCTATCATTGGAAGGATGGAGAGAGAGCAGGAAAAGAAAGAGATGGACTGATAGAAGAGAGAGCTGGATCGTGTCTGCTGTGAGATCGATCAGATGGTGTAACGATAAGACATACGGATTACAACTGCTCTCTAAGGTGTGTGTGTGCGTGTGAGAACAGAGGTGAGTTAGCATCACATTTCTGTTTCCCACTGGTCTGCGTTCGGTCACTGACTTGAAATCAGGACACTTTGAGGTTTGTGCTTGGCCATCAGCAAAGACAAATCAACCAGGCATTACTCAGAATTGTGGTAATATCTCTGGTTCGCGTAATAGTTTTTATTAGATAATACATTTACACAACAACCTCCTTGTCTTAAACCTTCCATGCTGTTGAGTGGTATTTTTAGACTGTAGACAGATTTACCGCGACTTAAAGGGATAGTTCACCCAAAATGGGACATTCTGTTGTTATTTACTCATCCTCATGTGGTTCCAAACCTGTGTGACTTACTTTCTTCTGTGAAAGTTACATTTTTTTTGGTGAATATTCTGGGCCTTCTCCATGTAATGAAAATAAATGAGGGATGATGCTGTAGCAATGTACTTTAGATTTCCTTAGCATTTTCATAAGATAATTAATGTCTGATGTGTGAATAAATAGTTTTTAGAATGAGATATTTTTATGGTTAATCAGTAGCTCTAGTTCACAAAACCAACCCATATGGTTCTTTCACAAATCAGATTGATCCAGTTATTGAGTGTAATCCACTGACTCGGTTGTAGCAGTCAACTTCTCTCTGGAGGGTAGTTTTATCTAGCAATAATTTGTGCCTGTTCCTCATAAAAACTATTGTGTAAATTCAGTAGACTCTGAATAATGCACAAGTTGAATGAACTACTTTTATAATGCCTACAGTATATAGTATTTTTTTGGGGCTTGACAGTCCTCATTCAGAGAGGCAAAGATATTCTTCAAACAAAAATCATGTTTTGTTTTCCAGAAGAATAACAAAGTCATACAGGTTTGGAACAGCATGAGGGTGAGTAAATTGTGATAGCATTTTCATTTTTGTGTGAACTATCTCTTTAAGGTCAGCTTTTCCGTTTTAAAGATTCCCTTACATTCCAAAATTTGTAAATAATGCAGTTGGAAGTGAGTCATTTTTAGGTTGGTTGTTAGCGTGCAAATAATTGTTGGAGGAAAATGTGCAAATGTTTTGTGATTTATCACGTATAGGGTCAGTTTGATCTTCAGTGGCAGCAGCACAGATGGGTTCATTTAAGTTTTTGAGGTTCATACTCTCTGACTGGATTCTGAGGCATCTCATTCCTGTCCAGCCTGTCAGAGGCATTTCGGCCCCCTTCCATCTCAGCTGTCATCCCCCTCACGTTCCACAGATATTGAAGATGACAGTCTCAGTCCGGCCCAAGAAACTGCAGTCACATGGTGTCTGTCTTTAACTTGTTAACATGTCTGTGTCTCTTAACGCCCTGCTCCGAAACTAGAGATTTATAGGAGAGATGAGATTTCTTCTTGGGTCAGGACATCCGTCTCCTCCCTTCCCCTCCCACTGAAAATATTCTGCACCGGACACATTCCTCCCACTTGTAGCCAGTCCACTTTGCTGCCTTGTTTAGTCATCTTTCCCTCTCCTTTTGTCCCAAATTGAAGCTGTAATTTGAGTTAAAGAGGGGAAAAATAAGAAATCTGCATGAGGCATACTGTAGAACCTCTGATAGATACACATCGTTGCCCGTCGCGGTCACTGGCTATGGGTGGCTGCCCTGTTATTTTTGCAGTTCTCAAATGGCATACTGAATAGAAGGTATATGTTTCAGCAGTGTATGTGATTTCTAGGTTGGCTGTGTGTTTAAATATGCTTGTTTAGTGATATACCTGTATACCTACAGTATGTAGCATTTTCTTGTGAATGAAGGTAGCAATCAGGTTGAGGGATGGATGGACAGATGGATGGATGGACGTATGGATGGAAAGATAGATAGATAGGTGGATGGATGGATGTAGCATTTCCTTGTGAATGAAGGTGCAAACAAGGTGAGGGATGGACAGGTAGATGGATGGATAGATAAGTAGACGGATGGATTGACAGATGGATAGAGAGATGGATGGATGGACAGATAGATGGATAGATAGGTGGACGGATGGATGGATGTAGCATTTCTTCGTGAATGAAGGTAGCAAACAGGATGAGGGGTGGACAGGTAGATGGATGGATAAATAGTTGGATAGATAGATAGATAGATAGGTGGATGGATAGATAGACGATAGATGGATAGATAGGTGGACGGATGGACAGAGATGGATAGATAGGTGGATGGATGGATGGATGGATGAATGGACAGACAGAATAGATGGATGGATGGACAGATGGATAGAAGGATGGTTTGATAGATAAATGGATGGACAGATGGATGGATGATTAGATGAATAGATGGATAGATAGAAAGAAAGATAGATAGATAAATAGATGGATAGAAAGATGGTTAGATGGATCACCTGTGTTGAATTTCTTTAAATTGCAATTCAGAAAATTCCCCTTCCTGTCATTTCAGTTCAACTTCCTGTGATATTTCAGTTTTTAATTCTGAATTTTGCGCAACCATGACTCACCGGGGGCATTGCCATTATCCAGGCTGAATTCATCCACTCGGTACACACCATTAGGCGTAGTTTGTCCCCACGACCTTGTCTTTGCCAGCACTTTTCGAGCTTTGCTAACGCAAGTGGTATTTCCAGCATCATTGGTTGGCTTGCATTAACCGCCATTACCAGCGTCATTAACTCTGCCAACATAATGTTTCCTCATCTAACGGAGAATAACACCTAGCGGCAATAACTGTGAACGGTGAGCAACAAACGTTTTCTCTCTGGAGATTAGTCCTGCTCGCACCTGAGTGCAGGCCGACTGTAATTACAGTAGGTGCATGGTGGGTCGGTGTAACCCAGACGGTCGCTAACCTTAGGGATGCACTTGGTCTGTTTGTCCAGTCCCCTTCTGTTCGTTCTATTTCCAGAGCAAATCCCGACATCCCCCAGGGGTTTAGGAAAGGACGTGCTCTCTTGTGTTGTAGGGCACAGCGCTGGTCCGCTACAGTGTTTGCAAGCCTGAATATCCTTCCCGCTGCCTGGAACGGTTCATCCTTGGCAGCAGTGGCACCCCTCGCTGGGTGAAGAATGAGGGGCACCATTGGGCAGCAGTGCAGGGCAGTGGGGGTCATGGCCACTTTTGTTTCTGCTAATGAGCCCAGTCTGTCGACCAGAGCGGGGAGGACGTCTCCCGGGACACTTTGTTCATTGTGCGGTCGTCTTTGTGTTGGACGATTAGGGATCGTGTGTGTGTTAGGCATTGAAATGCGAGGCATTGTATGCGACATTTGGTGTTGGCTATGTCCGTGTTAGCAGTTTGTCCGTACAAAGGAGTAAAGAGCCGAGAATGATTTTCCCTCAGGTCCTCTATATTTTCAGAGCGTTCTTCGAGTGGCACAAGTGCAGGGACTCATCTTGCGATATATCTGTACGAGTGTGGCCCTCTAGCTGATTCATTAGCACAGAAAATACAGTATATGGCCTTTAATAACCCAAAGGAATATAGAGCAATGGATTGGTATTGCAGAATACTAAGATGAGTGAAAATGCCACATCGGCCTCCATCTCCTCAACTCCCACTCAGTAACTACTCGAATAACTCTGCCTTTTTTTATCTCTCTCCACAGCCTCTCCAGATAGATGACAACTTTTGTGGCCAGGACTTCAACCAGCCTCTAGGGGGCACCACTACGATTGAAGGGATTCCTTTATTCCTGGACAAAGACGACGGGATGACGTCAGTGGCGGCGTATGATTATCGTGGCCACACCGTAGCCTTTACCGGCACACGTAGTGGCAGGATGAAACAGGTGAGTCACTTGCTTAATTTTTGGTTGTGGTAAAGCGATTGTATGTGTAAATAATTTGAGGTTGGATGTGGAAGATCGTAAAGGTTTTGGGATGGTGTCTTTTTTACTTTTATAAGTGTTTGTATTAGTATACTGATAGTCAAACACATTTTCTCTCAAGAATTTGAAAACGAGCCACATGCGTGCACACATTTCTACACAAACGTGCTTGTGCTGAAGTATGCAGTAATCCTGTCTCAGTCCTTGTATATGAGCCCGGCGTCATGTTTAAACCGCTGGCTAGATATAGGCTGTACGCGGGGGTGGTGAGGGGAGATCAGCGGATGTCGAATGATATCCCATCATTGGAATCGCATTTCTCCTCCGTCTTGCTCTTCCTGTAGCGGCCCCGAGCCGGACGGCACTGCCTGTGTCATTAGACAGAAATCAATGGCCTGTGTGCAAATACAGTGTGTGTGTCTGGGTTCCTAATAAGGTGAAAGCTAGAAAGGTGTATGTACATATGTTAATGGCATGCATCAGTTAATTGAGTACCAATCATGTGCATGTCTCTCACCAACTTCCAGTTCCTGTGTCTTTCACTGTTCGACCATCTCAGCCAATCTAGTTCCTTCGCAGAGCCGTAGCCAAATATGTGTGAGCTCTCGAACGGCGAGCTGTATGAGACGGGCCAGCTCTGGATCTTGGGTGTGCATTGGTGCCGGCGGTGCTGTTTTATTGCTATTCATTTTGTGCTAAAGTGTGGGTCTGGCCCTAATGAAATGTAAAGCTGTAGTCTATTGAAGTGGGCTCATTGTAATTCCTCTAGTCTTCCAGTTGCTGCGAGGCCTTATTGATTCATCTGTATGAATATATAATCAGGGGCCTAAATCTTAGTGGCTGCAGACAGCTGTACAAGTATGTGTGTGTGTGTGTTAATGTTTGTGAAGCAAAGACCCATGACTGGCTGTGAGACATGTGACATTAAAGATTGTTTGGCTCTAGTTGAAGTGATCCATCCATCCATCCATCCATCCATCCATCCATCCATCCATCCATCCATCCATCCATCCATCCATCTATCTATCATTTTTGTTTTATCTTTTTTCTGTTGTTTGTTCTACTATTCTATTTCTTATCTACCTATAATTATTTTTCATTCTGTCTATTGTTCGTTTATTCAGTCTGTTCTTCGTTTGTTTGATCTATCGTTTCTTTGGTCAATCTATCTTTTGTTCTTGTTTATTCTACAAATCTAGCATTTGTTTGATCTGTAATTTGTTTGTTCAATCTGCTGTTTATTTAATCTGTCATTGATTCGATCTAGGCCTATTGTTTGTTTGTTCGTTCTATCTTTTGTTCTGTTATTCGTTCTATTTATTGTTCTGTCTGTGTCAGTTTAGAAACACTAAGACATTTTTTTTTATGTAAAATGCTTATGTTTTTAAATATATACTTTCATTCACCTAGGATGCATTAAATTGGTCAAAAGTTATAAGCCAACGAGTTCTTGTTAATTATGTGTGAAAGAAGTTCATTATTTATTATGCAGAATTCGATCTAGGCCTATTGTTTGTTTGTTCGTTCTATCTTTTGTTCTGTTATTCGTTCTATTTATTGTTCTGTCTGTGTCAGTCAACACTAAGACATTTTTTTTTATGTAAAATGCTTATGTTTTTAAATATATACTTTCATTCACCTAGGATGCATTAAATTGGTCAAAAGTTATAAGCCAACGAGTTCTTGTTAATTATGTGTGAAAGAAGTTCATTATTTATTATGCAGCTGGATTATGCAGAGTGAGTTTCTGAAGGCAGTGAGATTTATACATGTGCGTATGTGTTTATGAGTTGTATTGTGTGACACTAGAAAGAAGAAATGTTGCTCTTGTGGGGCTGGTGCAGAGGAGGTCATTGTCAGTGATTTGATAAAATCCACTATTCGGGTTCACGGGAGTGGAAATCTCCATAAAAAATCCTCTGTCCATATGCCGCCCTTCTTGACATCGCCTGTATCCCCCCAACCTCAAGCCTCAGCTTGACGGGCTCTCAGTTGAAGACAACAGCTAATAAATCAGGTTGAAAATGCGCCGGATTAGACAATTTGTCGCATGTCGTAACAATCTGAATCTGAGCTCTATATAGCTGCATGCATTGGCAGAGCTAGCATGCTAACTGACATGTGGTCAGTTCTCAGCACCTTTTTAGTCGTGAGCTTACGACACATGCGTCGACTTGCCAACTAAGGGGCTTGTGCATAACTAGTCATTCGTGTTCATGTAATGTCCACCTACCCGCCTCTGCAGGTCCAATTTGAGGGAAGATCTCCCTTGGAGACGTTAAATGCTGGTGGCCACAGGTCACTTATCATTTAGCACGTTAGCGTGGCTAATTAGCATGTTAGCGCAGCCACACGTGTACCCCCCTCCACTTCCGAAATGTCACTTTAATTAAGAAGCATGATCTGATTTGAGCTAATTTGCCGAGCGAATGGTAATTACAGATAACATTTGGAAGCAATGAGCAAAAAGGAAGGCTTGTGGGGTGGTTGGGTGTTTTGCATTGTCGCGGCAGGAAGTGATTTCTCCTTGTGGAAATCTCGCCTGATTGAGAACGATTAATGATTGACAACATCTTGTAGTCCTCGGTGGGAACGTTGGAAGCCGTGATTGGTGGCAGTGATTAGGGAGCGAGCTGCAAAGAGCGTCCTCAGAAGTTTGTTGCATGGTCAGTCGCTCCGAGCGGCATTATGAAGCGCCACGCCTGTGAGGGACAAATCAGAGGAAGACAGACTGTAGCGTGTTGTAATTGTGTTTTTTTTCTTCTGTGGTGACTTTTCTTAGCATCTATAATTCTCATTGTCAAGGTAAAGCTGTATCTGTGCCAGTACAGAATTGCTGTTCATTCTCTTTCTAACACACACACAGACACAATAAATGTCACATCCAGCTCCTCTCTTATAGCGGGCACTGTGCCTGTGTTTCTGTCTCAATCTGTATCAATTCAGTGTTCTTGTTCAGGCTCAAGTAAAAGATACTCTTGATCATTTCGTTACTCTGTCTGTTTCTGCCCCAGTCTCTTGACTGAATCCTAAAACCTACCAAATATGAAATTTATCATAGTGTCATATTCATACTTTCTATATTTGTATATTCATTTTAATATTTAAATTTAACTGCGAACTAGGGGTGTGCGATATATATCGTAATTGTTGTTTTAACGATGTGCGATTTGACATTATCGAGTATTTTGCAAAAACCATTCAAAACATCCCTACAGAGCGCACGCATGCATTACGTGAAGTCTAGACTAGTGCGTGCGCGCATTTAGTGTGTTTTCTTTCACTGCATGATTCAGTCTATTAAAATGCATTTAGAATGATCACAAATTCAAGAAATGATGGCAGAAAATTTATATATTTATACCACTTCATATAGTTATTCAATTTCACATGAAGAGTGATTACAAATGTGACATTGAATTCAATAAACAATAAGTTAATTAAGAGACTTACGTTTTAGACACCATATTGCTTGTTTTTGCTCTATTTCGCCAACAAAAATCATTCCGAATACAGCCACAGTGCTGTTTTGTGTCTCTGTGCAACATGACGGTGTTTCGTTCCTGAATGAATCAACCGTTTAAATGATTCGGTTTAATCGCAATGACTCACTTATTAACAGTGATTTGCTGCCACCTGCTGGCAGTTTTAATTTCACATTTCTGCTTTTTCTTTCTTTTCTTTCTTTTATTTGTGATTTTTTTTTTCATGTTTTAAATAATTTCAAATATCAGTATTCAACGTTTTATGTTTAATATATCAAAACATTATTTATGCATTTGTAATTGCAGGTTAAATGCATTCATGTCTTGCATTAAACAAAATACATGTGTGTAAATACATCTAAATGCCACTTCAGATGCAGCATCTGTGTTGATTTAATTTGCTTTGTAACAGCCCAAATGTCTTATTATTCTAATTCCCTGATTAAATGTAAGAATTTGACTCAAAAGATAATGGACACTTTTAGAAAAAATGGCTTTATAAAGTTAAAAATGCTCATAAAATGCAAAAATCTGTTTAAACTTATTGGAAAAGATTAATTTCTATCAGTATGAACTGACCACCACACAGAATATGAAGAATATTTAAAACATTATGAGTCAGCTGTCTTCGGCAGTCCTTAAGGTACCAGCACAATAACACACTCAGCAAAATATTGTCTAATTATCGTTATCGATAAAATCCCATAAAATATCGAGATATAATTTTTTGTCAATATCGCACACCCCTACTGTGAACTAATATATTTCATAATAATTAATATATTTTTATTTTATTGAGTTTTTTCTAGAGATGCAGAATATCGTGGAACCATTTTTTTTAAAAAGAATTGATACTTTCATTCACCTTTGACGCACGCAAACACACACACACACACACACACACACAAACAACCTGATTTATTGACTTAAGAATTGGAATTTTGTGGCTTTTATTCCATGTGTCTTACATACATTTTAAGTCATTTATTTTCTGGTGTGCTGCTTAAAATCTGCTAAGATTCATGCTAATAGGTCTTTTGGGGTTTCAGTACTGAAAAAAGTTAATCCTATTAAAAGTGGACTGTTTTCACTCATTTATGTGTGCTGGGTATTATTATGCTTGTCAGAGTATTGTGTCATTAGCTTAGCAACACTCCATTTTAAGTCGAGTCTCCAGTGCCCTTTAAGTACTATTTGTGTCATATAAAGTGTTATGAGGTTCAGATTCAGTCAGCATGCCACCTTAGAAGGTAGCTGCATATCTAGGGAGAAGTTATCAAGGGAGTTCGGTAGGCATGTGTACCCTGGTGCTACGTGGCCATTTTAAGCTCTGGCAGATGGGTTTGATTGAAAGAGCCCCTGGCTATGAAGCTCATTGGACATCTGTGAGGAAAGCACACTTTTAACCAGGTGCTCACAGGGTTTTTTCTCCCCCAAAGTCCTGACTTTGTTTGGAAGTGCCCTTGAGTAGCACTT